AGAGATCAAACAATGAGAGAGTGAAACTTTCTTAAGAGAGATAGAAATATAAGGTGTAGTGATTTATTTGGTAAAGACAAATTTTTTTTTTTTTATAGGTTTGAACAAGATTAGGGTTTTTCAAAGTTTTCTTTGGTTTACCTCTTCTTGTGAGATTGAACATGGACCGTCGATCAAGAGTCACTTGTGGGGTGAGAGATCTGAGCCATCCATTCCATAGATAGGCCATCAACAGTATGGAAGGTGCATGAACCCTTATCCCCATTTCCTAAACTATTTTCAATCAATAGAATTTAGATAAAATAAGTTTAATCAAAATGTTATGCATACTATAAAATAACACAAGTCTACTCAATCTTTCCACAAAATCTTTCAAAGATATATCAAGTCAATAATTAGTCGATATCTTCCAACTATATAGTCATATGCCACATCACCACAAAAATAGGAAAGAGAATAAGGGTGGGGCTTGCCACCCATGGGAGGCACTCATGAGCCCCACCTTCTAGAAATATGGTGGGCCCATGTGCACAATGGTCATCCATGGTATATTTATATTAATAAAAGAAATTTAAAATATAAATCATAAAATATTAAATAAAATATCTAGTGGTTCATAAAAATTCAAGTAATGTTTCTAAAATAATTATTGTCATAAAATAAACACAATTAAATTAATTTGATGAAAAAATGATCCATATAGTTTAGGAATTGAATCAACAATCATGGGTCACTCCACCTTCAACTGCGGACTACGGACCACACTTGCTTTATCCGACCAATCCAGTATTTTCCATGACCCACAGTCCAAGCAGGGGCTCATTAGTGGTCATCAAAGTCTGACCGATGAGTCAAGGGATCGCAATCAAAGTCTGTAACTACTGGACCGCCTTTTGCAAATGCTGAAACGCCTTTTGCAAATGCTGGACCGCCTTTTGCAAATGCTGGACTACCTTTTGCAAATGCTGGACCGCCTTTTGCAAATGCTGGACTACCTTTTGCAACTGTCGGACCACATTAGCAACTGTCGGACCACACTTTACACAGTGTTAGAGCCCTACTGCTAGACCGCACTTTATACAATGATGGAGCCCTGGACCGCATTTTACATAGTGCCGAAGCCTTATTGGACTGCACTGGCACTTACACGGTGCCAGAGCCCCTATTTAGTGGGATATATAGGATAGAGAGGTGGGTTAGGAAAAAGTAAAATAGGGTAGTTTAGGCTTTTTTATTTATTTTTTATTTAGTTAGGGGTGTTTGTATAGAAAGTATATTTTGGAAAAAAGAGTAAAAGAAAAAGTTAAGTTAGAAGTAAATTGCATAGAAAGTGTAGTCTTGTGGTTTTTTTTTTGTAATTTTTCCAAATAAAAAACCTTTTATTAACCTTGATCATACTTTTTTTTTTATATATATATTTTTTATCGAAATAGCTTTGACGGTTGCCATATTACGTACAGCTAAAAAGGAAGGTTGCTTTTCTAGAGAATGAAAATGAGAAGAAGAAACTGAGGAAAGGGGCTGAGCAAGGGAGGAGCGAAGAAGCACTTGAAGGTGCTCCATGATGACATTCAGGGGATCACCAAGCCTACAATTCGCCGCTTGGCTTGAAGGGGAGGAGTGAAACGTATCAGTGGTCTCATCCATGAAGAAACCAGAGGCGTTCTCCAGATCTTCTCAGAGATGCTGTTATCTACACTTAGCATGCTCGCAGGAAGACTGCGACCACCATGGATCTAATGTATTCGCTAAAGCGCCAGGGCCGCACTCTCTATGGATTTGGCGGTTAGGTTTTGGCCTCTGGTTCCTAGGGTTCAGTTCTGTAAATTCTCATGGATCATGGCCCTTATCTTTTTCTCCTTTGTCTTTTATAGTTTTTTTTAGAGTTCGGAGTTTGGTTGTTTGCGATTCAATTGTTTTGATTTCGTCCTTTTGGCGATGAAAGCAAGGATTAATTGACTTTCAGTGGAATGAGTGCAGTAATGCAGAGATTCCTTTGTTTTAATTCGTTCTGAATTTGTGTTTCTTAATTGTTGGAGATAGTTATTTTGCTTCCATGATGCGTTTTTTTACGGGTTTTGTATCGCTGAACCTCCAATTTCTTTGTGATTCAGAATTCAGGGTTTTTTTGTGATTCAGAATTCAGGGTTTTTTTAATGCCGCTCGTGTTTGGTTTTTTTTTTAATTCTAATTTCCTGCTCTGTTTCTTTCCTTGTGTCCTTTAAGTTATTTTTTTGATGAATTTAATTTCCATTATCTTAATGGAAAATCAGTTTCGAATCTATATTTTCTGTCTCTTCTTTTCATGTAGGATGGGTTATAATCAAACGACAGACGTTCGCGCTCTCTCGATTTTTGTCTTTCTGCTCTATGGTTTCTCTCTTGAAAATCGATATGAATATTTTCTTTTGGAAATTCTTAAATGGATGATGAATGGATGTAAAAGCATTTTATATACAGTATTTTAAAACACGTATACTATGCTTCTCGGGTGCATAGTTTACTACTCCCTTCTTTAGATGATTTGTTTGAGAGGATTTTTTCTATCTAAAATTTTGATAACCACCATAGAATCACTGTATGATTATTCCAAAAAAAACTAATTTAAATTTTTTTAGCACTGCGGAACTTAAAGTATTCTAATGAAGCCTTTTAGCATTACGTAATTAAAAAAACAAAAAATGGTATGGACGAGGTTAATGAAAGCATGATTTTTTTTCTAATTAGATAAAAATTAAAGTTTATTTATGATAATTTTCTTCATTTAAATTAATTTAAAATTTGATATTATATCCTCAGAATTTGGGTCGTAAAAATTCTTTTAAGTTGGATTTTACTTGAGAGAGTAAATGGATAGTATGCTCCCTCAAGACTATAAAATCTTTTGGCATTAAATTAAATTGTTCTTTTTTTTCCTTTTTAAATACTCATCTGATTAATTAGTGAACCCCAAAATTTAATTGCCAAAACACCTATGGTGCCATTTTGCATGAAGGAGCAAGTTTAAAGTATGATACTGTGGGAGCACGCTAGGGCGCTCCTTTTATGAGTCGTTCAGTGTGAAAATCTAGAGATTTTCGATCCTTATATGAGTGGTTCAGTGTGAAAATCTAGAGATTTTCGATCCGGATTGTTGATGTGAGCAACAAATTGGTCAGGATCGGAACAATACCAAGAAGACATAAGTACTAGCCCATGCCCCTCTTAAAACAAACCCTATTGTTTCTTTTTCCCTTTTGTTTTAATTTTTTTTTTAGGGATTGTATACGAAAAGACTATTTATATTTTGTACAAGGAGGAGAGAATTTATTTATTTCGATATGGCTGCTGCCCTATCAAACCATTTTTCTTTTATTTTCAAAGGAAGCCCTATCAAACCATTTTCCTTTTATGTTTCAAAAGATGGTAGGCAAAGAGACCATTTACTTTTGAATAAGGAGATCACAATTACTTACAACTATACTATATAAAATTTGATAGCTTGGATGTATCACAAAGTTTGAATATATTTTTTTTTAGAATTTGAAATAAATACATCTATCTAATTTCACATTCAGTGTTTTATTTTATGACCACCTTGAACCAAAATTAAATAATCTCATTATATAATTTTCTATTTTCCAAACCCTTGAACCCCACCCTGCTCACGTGTAAATACCTTTCTTTTTTCCAAACTCTTGAACCCCACCCTGCTCACGTGTAAATACCTTAACCTAGGGATGAGTGGGTTGACCTTGCTTTAATGAGGTATGAGCGGTATGGTGTTAGGCCTTTTTATAGAAGGGTGGCATTCATTGCCTCCCTCGGGTCCCCAATGGGTGGGAATAAATTTTGGATCCCCCCCCCCCGCGGTAGGAATTAAGGCCCAACCCCTGGTAGGGTTACAATTAAGCATGACTCTTTTCCCGTAAACTCTAGAGTTAGAATAGGAAACGTATACAATGAAAGTATTTACTTTTGATGCGAGGCAGTGACAATTAATTTTGACCATAGGATGGCTAAATTTATTCTATTGACCAAGTTCAAACGTCAAAATAAATTTTATTGATCCTTATAACACATCTAAGCTATCTAATTTCACATCGAATGGTTATAAGTACTTGTGACCTCATTGTTTCAAAGGTAAATGGTCTCATTATATACAAAATAAACAAATAAATGTATACTTGTAATGAAAAATACTGGGCACAGCAAGTTAAAAATAAATATTTTGAAATAGCCATTTATTAATCAATTGTTATTCCATGGGTACTAAAAATGTGAGTTAGATCTATTTTATTGTAACAACTGGCACTTTAAACATCAAACACTTCTACATGAGAGTGGTTCTCAATATTTATGCATTTCTAGTGAAATAATGAAAAATTACAGTGCTCAGTGAGAAAGGAGGTTGAAGGAGAGATTTATTAATCCATAGCTTGGCGTGCCTTTAACCATTCCTCCTCTTCTTCGTTGTTGTTTATGTTGTTCACCAAAGTAGTATTCCTCCTTCTTTTTGTAGAGCGGAAAGTTCCTCCCTCCAGTCCTACCGATGGGCACCACTGGACTCAGAGCTGCATTTCAATTCACCCATTAAAATCTTTGCATGCAGAGTGTGTGTGGGTTTAAGCAGTATATATGGAACAAAAGCAATGCAAGTGAAAGGGAAATAGCATTAAGAAACCAGTCAGTCATTTGATGGGGAATGATAAGGAGGCATAATAATCAGATCGAGAGAGAGAGCGTAATTAAAATGGGGTAGAGAAATATCAACAATAAGAAGTAGACAAATAATTAGATGCACAGAGAGAGTAAAATTGATCCCGATTTAGAGGAGAAAAAATGAAAAGATGTAATAAAATAATTGTGGAGTCTCAACCTACATTGCTTAATGCTTAGGGGTTATCTACCATTTGAAGAGAGATAGAAACTGGAAAAAAATATATAGGGGGAGTAGAGAAGCTCGTAGCAAAGACGGATAGAAAACAAAATAGCAAACATGTAACGAGGGAATTCTTGAGGAGAGAGGCATCAAAACTATGAAGTCAGAATTAGCGCAGTAGAGGAAGAAGTCGTCGAAATTATTGCTGCCGAGGACCGGGAATCTGCCCTGACGAGAGTAGGATCGAAGCGCAGTCTGAATAACAGTGCGAATTGTGTCATCGACCCTCACAAGCAAACGCAGGGTGCCTGCGCTCTCTTGAACTTTTATGCTGATAAGCATGAGTTCTGCAACCTGCAGCAAGAAACCCAATTAGAAAAACCTTTCTGGAGAGGAAAGGAGAAATAATTCCAAGAACAGGACATTAACAAAAAAAAGAGTGCAAAGGGAGAGAAGAAAGAGAGCAGGGAATCAAAGAAATCGGGAGGGATCAGGGAGAAACCAGGGAAAAGACACGAAAATAGAAAAACAAATGAAAACAGAGAGAGAGAGAGAGAGGGAGAGAGATTTTACCTGATCATTTTTGAAGAATGCATGAAATACATCAAGAGACCTCGATAGACCCCACTTCTTCACAAGTTTAACTCCAATGGGTTTCTTCCAAACATTCACCTGATTAGAGGGCTGAGAAACGGCCATTTCTAGAGAGGGAAAGAGAAAAAGGCACAGAAGAGGCAAAACCTAGAGAAAGGGGAGAAGAAGGCGCAGAACCTAGAGAGAAACTAATTCGGGGTTTGGGTTTAAGTGAAAACCTAGAGAGAGGGGAGAAAATGTAACCTAAGGAGAAACTAACTAGGGGTTAGGGCTTAAGTAAAAAAAAAAAGATCTAAACCAAGACAGCGGTAAGGCCAGCCCTTGTTGCAGGACGCTGAAGATTAAAGCTTGGATAGGCATGAAATAAGGGGCCACTGCGCGACTGGCTCGCTCGAACTGGTAGGGAGAGGATGAGCCACCATCAACAGCACACACAAATCCACCAACCATCCACAAACCAAAGGCAGCAAGAGAAAGTAAAAGAACGAAAAAGAGAAATGCATGAGAAAGTAAAAGGATCGGCAAGAACAAGAACAAGAACGTGAACGTGGGATGGGAATGAGGAGAGAGAAGGCCAAAAGTAGAGCGAGGAATCGTATTCTTTAAGGGACAATGCAAAGGGGTTTTATACGTCTGAGGCAGTCGGTAGGATGTCCACCGGTTTAGATACCCATTTAGCTGTGGGCCCCAATCTCCTTGCCGCCATGTACCCACGCCCTTGCAACATTCTCCCTCCCGATTCGCTTTTTAAAACCCGTCGTTTTCTTATCCAGATTTCTGTTCCGGAAGTCGGGGCCAAATTGGTTTGGAGACCGTATAGGTTTCCCCTTGAAACCTTCCGTTATATATGTTATTTATGTTTCTATATTTATTTAATGTTTTTTCCCCTAAATTTCCATCCCATCAACTTTTATTTTTAATTTTTGTTCTCTCATTTATTTTTAAATTTTTTTGATCACTGATTAAAACTTGATCCGGATCACTGATATGGCGATCTGATATAGACATGTAGGTGAACAATCCACCCATTAATCCCGGTTTTTTTTAACCACTTCTCCCAATATTTGAAAACTTGGATTGGTGACCCAAATTGGCCATATAAAAATGGATCTTGATCAGTAAACCGACGATCCAAATTGGTGGACTGGCCCAATCCGGCCTTAAAAATTTCCATAAATTACTAAAATTTCTTAAAAAAAAATCAGTTTGTTAAGTTTCCAAACAAACAGAGGTATCACATATTTTCAATATTTTATTTTAAAATATGTTAACACTGAGAACATGTGTCGTATCTGAATGTTGTTGACCATTACATTTATTTTGTAAACAAAAATGAAGTTTAAAATGCAACTCATTCCAATAAAATAGATCACTCTAAATTTTTTTTTTTTTTTTTTGTATTTCTATAATCTCAAATCCCTTTTTTTTCTTTTGTATTTCTATAATCTCAAATCCCACTTACGCTTGTAAAGATAGGGGTCATACCTACTTTTCTTTTTTTTTTCTGAAAATTAATTTCTTAAATTAATTATTTATTTTCATTTCATTTTTTTATTAACATTTTATTTATCTAGAGGTATCTCTCTAGAACTACATATTTATTTCATTGGTATTTAATTTATTTCTCATTATACGTTTTTCAATGTTGGCATCACCTGCTCTATATTGAATCATGCCGATTCCCATAAATTTATGGGCCTAATTTAGTTCCCTATTCTAAACAATCGGGACCCTGTGGTATGTTTGGTTTGCGTGAGATTGGATTTTAGAAAATATTTTTACCTGAAAAAAAATTCTTACACGTTGTTAAGTGTGGAATATTTTCATACCAATTGGTCTTAGTATATCTTTTCATAGCATTTGGCAACTAATTGACATAAAAATATTTTCACACTTAACCACATGAGAGAATTTTTTCATATGAAAATATTTTCCTAAAAATAATTTCATGTAAACCAAACGTGCCACTGCTTAAATGATTTTTTGTTCAATATTGAAATTTCAGTCTAGATATCCTAATTTTAGGTTTCAACCTTAATAAAAGGAAACCATGGTTGCCTCCAAATTCAAAATGGAAGAAATATAGAACCTAAAATAATTCATGCACCAAGAAGAGAGAAATATAGATTCACCTTTGACATGTTAAATCACAGCCTAGGATCATTTAGAGAGAGAGCAGTACGTATATACTTGACAATTTGACGTGGCAAAATATTGTATGGCCGCAGTTTGTAAAGAGCCGAGGTTTTAAACAATCAAATTAGAGCCCACGTTCAAATAGTATGGAGAATGATAGCCTTAAAATATATTTTTGCCTTTAATTTTAAAATTTAAAGATTCAAAAATAATGTAGATCAAGCAGATCTATGAGAACTTAAAAATTAGCAGTCTAAAAAATACGTTACAAGATATATTATTTCCAAAACTTAAAATCTATTTTTTTCTCATGTCCATGCATCTTGATGTCAAGAATGACTATATCCAATTTGAGTTCTAATAAATATGAGTGATTGTGACTTCTTTGCGACAATGGTAAATGGTCTCATAATATACAAACTCTATAGCAAATGAATACCTAGTCCTCTGAGCAAGCACATATTCGGAAAGATCTTTTTAGTTTAAGGAAAATTTTCATAATTATTTATTTTTATGCTATATTAAATGGGTGTGGTTTACATAAGGTTGCAACTTTAAATAATCAAAGTAAGTTGCATGTCCAAACTTTGTCATACGAAACAATTTTGATGTTAAAAATTCTTAGGATGGACAACAATCTATTTATCTCTAATTATAAATTTTTAAAAATAGTTTCAATCAAGTGGATTTGGTTCAAATCAAGCAAATTTAGAGATCTATCCAGTAGAACTATAAAATCTGTCATATGATACAGTCCAAGTCCATACCCACTTTTTTCTTCTTTTTATTATCCTAAATGCCCCTGGGTCACAACTCGCAGGACAGATCAAAACTCAGAGTACCAACCTGATCAGTTTATCACAAAACTAGGTCATGGGTTCCAACCTAGTTTATTTGTCAAAACACAAGACCAGAATATAGAGTTTTGAATTGTTATATTTCTCAAATTTTCAAGTAAGAACTTGGAGTTCCGATTCGATTTACTTGTGAAGCCACAAGCATGTCGGAAATCCATGTTCTAACCCCGATGAAAGAGTTATTTTGTACACAAGGGAGCCGATTCTCTCACTTCCCTTCCTTGTTTCAATCTTTCCCTCTCGAACCCACACACTGTTCTCACAGGCCCCTACTGCGCTCATTCCCAACTCCCCCAACCTCCAATCCACTATTGCTCTCCTCTCTCAGTGCTGTAATAATCATTCCATCCTTCAATTATCATTCAATATTTTTGCTTCAATGTCCAGGTATGTTCCCCCCTTCTTAATGCAAAATGTTATTATGATCCCCTTTAAAAAACATGAATGAAAACCCCACCCAAATATATAATGTGTGGGATCCCCAGTCTCAGCTATCAGATCTAAATAGATGGCTAAGATGGCTTGAGTCACAATGTCACAAATTGATTATTAACCGTCAGATCTTGATCGGACAGCTCAGAGCTTTTTATTTTTAATTTTTATTCTATAAATCATTTTAAAGCAAATATTGGGGCATGCATAGATCTGATTGGGGTGCACATGATAAAAATAAAAATAAAATATTTTTGATGATGAATAATTATTAGAATACCCCTGAAAATTTCAAGAGGCATTTTGGTCATTTATGTTTATAGAAAATATTTATTTTTTATTTTTTCTCAAGTTCGCCCTAATTTTATGATGGGACGCCCAAAATTTCATCCAAAAATGTTTTGTAGAAAAATAAAACAGCATTTGGCGTGACATTGGGGGTATGAACAATCATAGCCGTTCAATTTAAATCGAACGGCTAACAAGTGGGGTCACATATAACTTACATGTTGTTGGGGCCACATAGAAACATTTCCCTTAAATAAAGAAAAAATATATTATGTTTTTCTAAGGTCAACCAAATATCTTAGCATTTTTTAATGATATGAACTTAGGGTTCTTATTTAATTTACTTGAGGGGAAAGGGATTTGCATGTATTTGTTGGTTATTACAATGAAAATGGGGTTTTGTTTTTCTGATTAATTGCATCTTTTTAAAATTTAATTTGCATGTATTTGCCATTTATTATTTCAATGTGCTTTTAGTCCTTTTGAATCCCTCCTTCGATAATGCATAGATATTTACTAGTTGTTTTTTGTAATTAAATTTATTGACAAAATGTGTTTTTTTATACCGTATATTATGGGGAATAATCTCATGTTAACGCGACATTGTAATATAACGAAGCCACACTTCTAGAAGACCATATTAGCAGCATTTACATAATCCCAAAAATTGCATACATCATTTCTTCATCCCAATAATCATCATCATCACCAGAGCCTTTTTCTAACTATTTGGGGTTGGCTTCTTCTTCATCCCAGAAATCAATTTGAAAAACAAAATTCAATTTGCATCCTATATATGGTCAAAATGAGTCCCCTCAAATAATAAATCTGGACCATCCATTTGATGAATTTCTAGATCCATGATTTACAAACTCAAAATGATTTTTTTTAACATTATTCATATAATGATAATAGAGCCATTTAAAAAATTTGGTAACGAAAAGTATATTTCTAATGCCAAGATCTAAGCATCTCACCAAAATGAATGACCTATTACGTTGAGAAAAACACTTTCTATGGTGTGTTCCCAAATTTTTCTTTTTTGTGAGTGTTCACTAAAATGTAATAATTGTATATTTAAAAATTTGGTTCAAAGAAATGACCCTAACATGTTTTTCAAAGGTTGTTTCATTATATTACTATAGAACCATTGCATGAAATCATTCCCCATTATATAAAAGGTTCGATTTGTATAGATCCTAGGCTCTAAAAAAACAAACTAGAGCCTACCTTCAAATAGTGTCGAGAAATGTGGTTTTAATACGGAAAATCTTTGTAATAGCCTTAAAATATATTTTTATATATTTATAAAGTTTAAAGCTTAAAAATTTTTATAGATCAATAGATCTATGAAAACTTGAAAATCTTGAAAATTGACGATCCAAAAATGCATTATAAAATACACTATTTCCAAAACTTGAAATCCATTTTTTCTCATGTCCATGCATCTTGATGTCGAGATGATCAATTTGAAGATATTTGGGCATCAAAACAACCTCTTCTAATGAAATTTTTGAGGTAGGCTCAAATTTGATTGTTTAGAGTCCGGGCTCTATATAAACTTTTCCCTTCTATAAATATACTAGAATTATATTGTTGAATTTTGTAATTTTAAGTATTTCGTTTCCTTTATATCTTATTACATTGCAAGTGCAATGCACGTAAATCCCCTAGAAATGATAAGACTTATGTTACGACTGATTGAATAGTATTAGGCCAACCATTCATATTGGAACATAAGTAGATAAATGGCGGATAAGAATGAAGTAATTTGTTTTTGTGTATTTCCTTTCTAATTTTTCATATGCATTGGTCAGATGGCCCGTGTGCCCTCATTTATTGAGGTCCTTCATATTTTTTTTAAAAAAATATGATCTGGTAAGCTATTATGTTGGCTATTAGATCGACTCAAATTCAATTTAGACGGTTGGACACACACTTTCCATGAGCTCACAAGCTGGGATTATCTTTTTTTCACTCTAGATTTAAACAAGTGATGGGTAAAAATTGGCTGAAAACAAACAAGTAAATAAAATATAAAGATAAGATAATAATTAGGAACAGTGTTTCAAAACCCAGTGATCTAGACTGGGAATCATTGATCTAGACCAAATATCAACCAAGACTGAACCGGTTATGGAAAGTTGTCCATAATGGCCTAGTCCCCCTCTGATAACCTCCTTTTCATTTTAATCTTTTTTAACAAAAAAGCTTTTCCAATATATTTTTAGGTTCCCCCAACCCCATGGGTGATTTTAATTTTTTATTTTTAAATATTTTTCAGATCGCCGATTCAGACCAATCTGATACAGATATGCAAAGTAGAGGATCCACTCCACGGAAACACCAACTGGGAATGTTTCATATATTTACTATTCAATTGAATAGGAAATACGAAAGAAACCCCAAAATCCCCCACCAATATATAGCCTTGGAAGAAATTTCTTAAAAATTTAAAATTGAATTTGTGAAAATTTGGAAAATAAAAACTAAATTTAGCTGACCTTAATCCTGTTAACATTTGTCTTTTGTGAATGTGTTTTGCTTCGCATACCCGGAGGCGAAGCCAGCATACCTTGCTCACCAGATCAACGAACATCAAAGGTGAAATCGTCGGAATTTAAACATTAAAATTGAAATATTACAATTTTTATGTTCTAAAGTTTTTATTTTTAAGGTAGTTATAGAAAATATCTCTATTTTAATACCTAAAATTTTTAAAATCTATATCCTCATGCATTATGTTACGATTTTCCTTTCTTTTTTTTAATTTTTTTTTTTTGCTAGAAATGTTGTTCATGAACCTATTAGGTCCATGATGCTTTATCAAGGACCTCTCATCCCAATCTTTCTTGATGGCAAGGCGGTCCTAATGGGATCATGATGATCAAAGGGCTTATTCATGGACCATCATGGTTTTAATAGACCTGTGATGGTCTGTCGAAACATAATGCACCATCATGGTCCGAGTAGGCTATGATAAGTGAGAATCATGGCTCGCTCCGTTAGAGCCTTGATATTCCCTTGTATTTTGAAGGACCATCACAGTTCTATTAAGGCTATGATAGTCAAATAAGTAAGTTCATTGACATCATGGCCTAAGAGATATTCACGTACGAGGTACGTGATAAAGTAGGGGTTGTGAAGATTATTTCCGCCACAAAAAGGAAAACCGTGACAAATTGGGTAGAGAAGTAGATTGTAAAGATGGTAAGTATTATCTAAATTTTAAAAAAATAAAAATATTTTTTTAAACCCTAAATTTTAAAAAAATAAGAATGTTCTTTTATACCCTTGTTTTTGTTCATTTGTGGATAATGCATAAAGCTGAATCGGTTATGTAAACCTGCCGCTAGGGAAACCAGTCCGATTCGACAATCTCACCGATTCTCATCATTCCCAAGGATGTGAATCGGTCCAAAAGAATTAATCAATAAAAACTAACAAAAAATGAAAGGAATAACATTTATGGGAACGAGGCAGATATAACCAACTGGTTCACAAATCTAGTTGGCTCCCACGGAACAGGATAGATTTCCGGTTTTGACTGGGAACCCCTACCACTTCCCTCTCTGGATAAGCAATTCCAATCCGAATTGCCTATTTTCAAATCGTTTATGCATACAAATAAGACTAAAAACCTTTGCTTAAATTAAAAAACAGGCTTAAATTAAAAAAAAAACTGAAACTGTTCTGTTATAGGGAATGTTATGTTACAGTGAATCAGAGAATTTTACACACTTCTCTTTTCTCTTTTCTCTTTTTTAAAATATGGAGCGGACCACCCCATATTTTATCTTTTTGGTATTTTTATTTTAGATGAGGTTTCTATAGAGCCTAGGCTTTATGAAAACAAAATAGAGCCACACTTCAAATCCTGATCTGAAAAATATTTTCGGTGACGAAAATCTCTATGATGGCTCTAAAATCAATTTCCAACACCAGCAATAAAATTTGAAACTAAAAAAAGATATAGATCTTGCGGATCTATGAACAATTATTTTTAAGGTGAAATAGACAGTTTAGATAATTTGTTATAATACATACTATTTTTAAAGTTTGAAATCCTAATTCCTTTCACAACCATAATGTTCAACTCGAGATGATTCAATATAAAAGTTTTCTAATGCTTGACTTGCAATTTCCGATGAGTTATGAGGTTACTTATTTTGATAGGGTTGCAGCCCTATCAAATCATTTTCCTTTTATTTTCAAGGTATTGTATACTTTTGATACAAGAAAATAATAATTAATATGACATACAATTAATGTGAAATCCGATAGCTTGAGTGTGTCACAAAATTCAAAAAATTTCTTTCGAAGTTTGAGCTTAGTCAATAGCATCATTCATCCAACTAATTTTACAAGATTATTATTATTTGTAATCACTTTGTACTAAAAATAAATAGTCTCATTGTATACTTCTCCATTTTTCGAACTCTTCAACCCCACCCCCAGCCCACGTGTAAATACCTTAACTTAGGTATGAGTAGGTGAATCATGCTTTAATGAGGTATAAGTGTTAAACCCTTTTTATGGAAGGGATTGCCTCCCTCAGCTACCCGTGTGTGACAATTTCTCTTTCTCTCGATCACTTCTTTCTGGCGTCAATAAAATTTTTGTTTTTCGGCGTGAATAAACTTCGGAGTTTACTTCAGAAATAGAGGGTCATAGCTTATTTTTCAACTGCCCTTCTTTCTTTTTTTTTTCTCTTTTTTTTTTTTCTTTTTCTTTTTTCTTTTTTTTTTTTTTTTTTTTTTTATTAATCAGTGGGTAAGACAAACCCTACTTTTTTTTTCAATACATTAGGGAGTTACATTTTAAAGGTATTAATTGATAAAGAGATGCTACCACTACGACCCCAACGCCTTCCTGTCTCAATTGCCATTTTGACTAACTAAAAAAACAATAGGTAATTAATTACCATTTTGATTAACCAAAAATACAATAAGTCATTAAGATCCTAGCCTTCTTTTTGTCTCTATTAAATAAAAAGTCCTTTTATTCACTGTAAAAATTTGAGTAGTCAAAAGATCTACTTTATTACAACAACTTGCACTGTCTTACTATAAAAATAAATAAAAAACATTCCGAGAAGTTCTCATTATTTAAATATTTATAGTAAAATAATGAGAAATTATAATGCAATAACACTATTTATATGGGAAACCTCAGTGAGAAAGATTGAAGGAGAGAGATTTATTGATACATAGCTTCCAGTGCCTTTTGAGCATTCCTCCTCTTCTTCCTTGTTGCTGATGTTCTTCATCAATGTGTTCCTGCTGCTGCTTTTTGCAGAGGACAAAGTTCCTCCCTCCATGCATCCCGATGGGCTCTACTGGACTCAGAGCTGCATTTCAAATCACATCCACAAACCCATTGAAACCTTTGCGTTCAGAGAATGTGTGGTTTTAACCTTAAACAGGATCAGAAACAATGAAAATGAAAGGGAAATAGCATTTACAAATATGGGATATCATGGGGAATAATAATGAGACGACATAATAATCTGATCGAGAGAGTAATTAAAATGGGGCAGATAAATTATCTTGGGTCTGGTTTTTCGAGAAAACTATAAGAGAGTTTGTGTTTGTAAACCAATATGTTTGGATTCACTACAAACAGAAAAGCTCTCAGCCATCGGAGCTATAAACGAGAGATGGAGTGCAAAATAGAAAACATGCTAACTGGAATCGATAAGGGAATTGATAACGAGAGGCATCAAACCTTTGAATTCAGAATTGGCGCAATGGAGGTAGAAATTGTTGAAATTAGTGCCGAGGACGGGGAGTCTACCCTCGCGAGCATAGGATCGAAGCGCAGTGTCAATAACAGAGCCAACCGTATCATCCACCCTAACAAGAAAACGCAAAGGGCCTGTGCTCTCCTGGACATTGATGCTGATAAGCATGAGATTTGCAACCTGCACTAATTTGAAACCCAATACCCAATATTACAAAATCTTTTCTGGAGAGGAGAGGAAGGGATAACTAATTCCAAGAACTAAAAAAAAGTACCAAGGGAGAGAAGAATTAACATAAAAAGTGAGAAGAAAGAGAAAGAAAAAGGGAATCAAAGAAAAGGAGAGAGATGAGAGAGAAGCTAGGGGGAAAGGACAGAAAATTAAAGAAACAAATGAAAAGAGACAGATTTTACCTGATTCTTTTTGCGGAATGTCTGTTTTGTAGGGGAAAAAGGTGATGGAGAAGAATGATGGAATACATCGAAAGAAAGAGACCTCAATAGACCCCCCATCTTTACACGTTTAGCTCCCATGGGTTTTTTCCCGTCGTTCACCTGGTTCGAGGGCATAGAAACCGCCATGTCTAGAGAGGGAAAGAGCTACGTAGAAAGAGAAGAAGACGCAGAACCTAGAGAGAGGGAGAAGGGAAACGAATTAATTTAGGTAAGGGAAACAAATTGGGGCATTAATTTAATGTTAGTGGAAAAAACTTAAAAGGATCGAGGCGACATCGGTAACGGCAGCACTTGTTGCAGCTGCCCGAGGATTCAAGCTTGGAGAGGAATGGAATAAGAGGCAACTGCGGGACTGGAGAGAATGAGGCACCATCAACACTACACCCACCTCCACCATTAACAAAACCAAAGGCAGCACTCAGAACGTGGGCATGGCATCAGGAGAGAGGAATCGTATTAAGGGGCAATGCAACAGGTTTTTTTTTTATTTATTATTGTTATATGTGTGAGGCAGGAGGCTTGGTCGTCCAGCGGGACTCGAAACCTATTTAGGAATGGACCTCGTGGGCCCATCTGCACCTATGTACGGACGCGCAAACGCATCTCTTTTCCCCCCGATTCGCGCGTTTCCAGAAGTCCGGACCAACTTCCTCTCGAGACGATATAGGTTCCGGCTTCAATTCTCCTTAAACCCTCCCTTCTATATTTTTATTTCTTCATGATATTTATCTAATGTTTTGTCCCTTCTAAAATTTCACCAAAAAATTTTAATTTTTTATTTTATTTTTCTATATTTTTATATCACCGATTCGAGTCGTTGATAGAACGATCCAATATGGATATGTGGGTGAACGATCCACCCCATTGATCGATGTTTTCAACCACTGCTCCCAATATTTGAAAGCTTGGATCGGTGATCCAAATCGACTATATGGAAATCGATCTTGATTAGCGAATTGATAATCCAAATCGGTGGATTGGCCCAATCTGAGCTTAAAGTTATTTCATAAATTACTAATATTTCTTAAAATCTATATTTTAAGTTTCCAAAAAGATTGAGGTATCACATTATGGATTTTTAATATTTTATTTTAAAGTTGTAAACACTGATAACTTGTTTCATATTTGAGTATTGTTGACCATTATATTTATTTTGTAGACAAAATGAAGTTTAAAATGCAACTCATTGCAATAAAATAGAAATCTTTAAATCAATTTTTATTTTTATTTTTATTTTTGTATTTCTATAATCTCCAATGCCACTTGCACTTGTAAAGATAGGGGATCGTACCTATTAATTTTTTATTTTTCCCTTTTTTTGAAATTTAATTTCTTAATTTATTTATTTATTTTCATTTTATTTTTAAATAATACTTTATTTCTCTAGAGGTGTTGCATTTAACTCTCTCTATAGATATGTCTTTATTTTTATTCATATTTAATTTATCTCTCATTATATGGTTGACAATATTGGCCTCACCAGCTCTATATTGAACCGTGCGAGTTCCCATAAATTTATGCTGCTTAAAACTTTTTGTTTAATCTTAAAATTTAAGCCTAGATATCCTAAGTTTTTGGTTTCAACCCTTGATGAAAAGGAAACCATGGTTGCCTCCAAATTCAAAATGCAAGAAATACGGAACATAAAATATTTCATGTACCAAGAACGCAGAGAAATATAGATTCACATTTGACATGTTAAATCACAGCCTAGGCTCAATCAGAGAGAGAGAGAGAGCAGTATGTATACAGTTCAATTTGACATGGCAAAATAATTGATTGGTTCATTAAACAAAAGATGAATCCATGAGAGAGAGAGGATAATTATAGAAAAAGAGTAGAGAGAATTTATTATAGAGAGGAGAAGAGTACTATATGTTGGAAACTTGAAAGATTATGTCGGGTGGGGCTCAAAAAATGCTGTATAGGGTTTTTTTTTTTTTTTTAAACGGTAATAAAAGTTTAATTAATCAAAGGAGACGAACTCCAAAAGTACAAAGCAAAAAAAAGAAAAAAAAAAAAATACAAGTTGTACTCCCTATTTCCATAAATGAACAACCAAAACTTCCAAACAAACATTTCTTCAAACTCAAAGGATCCAAAACCACCCACCACTGAAGACCCAAAAATTCCCCACAAAGCACTCTCACAAACATCCCACCCCAAGAACTTTCAATCCACTCCAAACTTCCAAGGAGCACCCAGTAAGCAACTTTCCTTTTGCAAATCTCCTCAAGGATCAGGGTTGGGTTGGGTTGGGTTGGGCTGGGTTGGGCTGGGTTGGGTTGGGCTGGGTTGGGTTGGGGCGGCGCGAAGCCTACACAGACGGCTGCCAAATAAGTGCTCTATGGGTGCAGTGGAACATGTGGAGGTTTAGGGGATCTGTGGCTGCCCATTAGCGTACAGCTCCTAAAGAAACTTGTCTTGATTTCTAGTTATGGATTAATTAATGGAAAATTGTTTCGTACGTGTTGAATCGCATTTTGACATATGCCGTTCAAAAGTATACGGCATCCACATTAAAGATGGATGCAAATATTTGGTTCATCTAAAAACAATTGAAATGAACAGTCTAAATAATAGGATTATTATTTCTAATTTTTAAATTTTATCTATTTAATATGATCTATTTGTTAGAGATATGTGTATCCTTAAAAATTAAGTTAAAAACTCTATCTTAAAAATAATTTTATTTAGGAGCCCGCATTTCTACATATGCGGGCTTGGCCCACATGCTAACCGCGTCCTTAATTAATACTACGCCAAATATGTTATGTGGTTGCTGACCTACGAGGCAAGGAGGACCCCACCGGCAAATCAGGAACGTCATTTTGGCGCATATAAAATGGGCAGTCGTTAAAAACAACGGTCCCGCGGGACCATATCCTTTATTCTGCCCCGTGGGAAAGCTCTCTTCGACAGTAATGTCACAACTCTTGGGAACTCTAAGGAAAAAGTTTATACAGAGCCGAGGCTCTAAACAATCAAATTTGAACGTACCTCAAACATTTTATTAAAAGATGTTGTTTTAATGCTAAAATATATTTAAATTGATCATCTCGACATCAAGATGCAAGGACATGAGAAAAAAATAGATTGCAAGTTTTGGATATAGTGTATTTTGTAAGGTACTTTTGGACTATCAATTTTCAATATTTTCAAGTTTTCACATATATATCGATCTATACTATTTTTGAAACTTTAAAATTTATAAATAAATATAAAAATATACTTTAAGGCTATCACAAAGATTTATAAGAATTAAACCACATTTCTTGACACTATTTGAAGGTAGGTTGTAATTTGATTGTTTAGAGCCTAAGCTCTATACAAACCGCACCGGAACTTCCAAAAGGAAAACAAAAGATTTAAATATGATTGTATATCTATGTTCCTGCAGGAGTATACTGTACACTTATTCTCTTGGGTAGATAATTTATTTAGGAATATCTTTTTTATTCAAAAATTTTGGGAATCATCTAATGTTCAAAAGAAAAAATTTTGAATTTTAAGTTTTTTTATGCGTAGATGTCATTCTTAAAAAATTAGATGGTTTCTATTCAATTTTGGGGTATTATTTTATGGAAAAATATCTCTATAAACCCCATTTTCAACTTTTATTTCTCCATTGACCTAAGATTGCAAAACATATCTTACTATATAGAAATTCACTCTATTATATCTCCTAATCCCATAAACATATTTTATTAATTTTTTATTAGTTTTTTTTACCCAAACAAATTTAAAAAAAACATTGTTTCTAAACTCCTTTTTCTCTTGGCATGATTTCCTCTCTCTCTGCCCCCATCAACCTCCTAAACCCCTCTTTCTCTCTCTATCTCCCCCCTCACCCACTCATCGAGAAACTACACTACCCCGGTCACCTGCTTGCCGGAAAACTACACCTCCCTCGGTACCTACTCATTGGAAAACTACACCTTCCCTTTGACCCGTCCGACGGAAAACACCATCGATGCTGGAAAAGAAACCCCATTTCTTTTTTCGAATACTTTTCTAGCGATCTCGATGCGTTCATCTCTGGGGGTTAGAAAAAGGAATACCAACTCAAAGGAAAACCCCTCGCTCTTGATATATGTAGAGAGAGATTGAAACAAGTAAAGAGAGAGAGTTATAAAAAGATGTTTCTCGAGAGGTTCATGGCTCTGAAACTTAAAGCTTGACCCATATGAAAATATTTCAGCCACCGGAAAACTGAGATTGTTCTCGAGAGGCTCAAGGCCTTGAGGTTTCCACTAGAGCTGATAAAGGAGATTGCAGGGACCTCGCCGGAAAATCCATTTCTAAACACTCTTTCAGAGAGACAGAGGATGGCATAGAAAGAGAGAATCTGATGTCCTAAACGTGGACAGTCTAGAGAGAGAAACACACAAGGACAGAGATAGAAAAAAGATGTCTTTTTAATTTGTTTGGGTTAAAAGTTTGAATAAAAATAGATAAAGTTATTTGAAGATTAGAAGATAGGTTTGAAATTTTAAGTTTAGGAAGAAATAAAAGTTGAAAATGAAGTCCACGGGGATATTTACCTTCATTTTATTCAAACTCATTGAGAATGCGAGTTGGAAAATTTTAATATTGAGTTTGGCATATCGTAGATAATGTTACATTCCCATAATTTGGGTATATCATAGATATGGTTACATCCCCATAATTTAGGGTCCTAAAAATTCTTGTGTGTTTTACTTGAGGGAGTAAATGGACAGTATGCTCCCTCAGGAGCATGAATCCTTTTGGCATTAAATATTTTATATGCGTATAGAGGTTCTATTTTTGGACCTAGGTGTAAACTAGATTAAATTGTTTTTATCTTTTCTTTTTCTTTTTAATTACTCATCTAGGTGATTAGTGAACCCCAAAAATTTAATTGACAAAACACCAGCCTAAGGTGACCTTCTGCTTGAGGAAGCAAGTTCAAAATGTGATACTGTGGGAGCATACTAGGGCGCTCCTTTTATGAGTAATCTAGTGTTGGAAATCATAGAAATTTTCAATTCGGATTGTAATATGAACAACAAATTGGTTAGGATCGAAACAATTAATGAAGATATCACTATTAACCCACACCCCTCCTAAAACACTCCCTATCATTTTTTTTTCTTTTATCTTTTTCCTTTTTTTATATTGAGCATATATAATGCTTTCTTTTCTCTCCCTAAATCCTCCATACAATACTCTATGTAAAAAAATTTCTTTTGATTTTTATATTTTTTTAGATCATCGATTCTGATCAATCCAGATCAGGCCTCCACCAATCCAACAAACAAACAT